AGGGCTGACTGGGGATGCTGGGAGATGCAAACCTTGACAAAGGGGGTGAAGGGGCGGGAGGGAGGGGTGGGAGTCTGGGATTAGCAGGTGTAAGCTATGATAGATGGATGGATAAACAAGGCCCTACTGTATACAGAAGCTAGGTTCAGTAACCTGTGATAAATCACAATGGAGAAGAATAGGAAAAAGAATACACACACACACACACACACACACACACATATATACACACACATATACACACAAAAATATATACACACACATATACACACACATACACACACACACACACATATATATACACACACACATATACACACACATATATATACACACACACACAAATATATATATATACATACATATACACACATATACACACACAAATATATATATACACACACATACACACACATATACACACACAAATATATATATACACACACAAACACACATATACACACATATACACACACATATATATACACATATACACACACACATATACACACATATGCACACACACATATCTGCACACACACATACACACATATGCACACACACATACACACACATATACACACACATATATATACATACACACACATATACACACACACACATATATATCTCACCTAAACACTTTGCTGTGCAGTAGAAATTAACACAACATGATAGATCAACTCTAGTTTAATAAAATACATTTTTAAAAACCTGACAATAATGACACCAGGGTCTGGATGGAAGCATGCTACCTCCACAAACCACCATCTGTATTTAGAATAACAAATGATTCGAGTAACTTCTCCAACTAAGTGGTATCCTCTTTAACTGCTAATACACAATCCTTAGAAGCCAGAAAGAACATAATAATAGTTCTTTGTACATTCTCCTTTTATAGCACAAAACTTTAAAAAGCTCTTTAAGATGTATACCAGTACAGCAAGAGACATATATCCACATTTAATGGCCAAACAATTTCTCTCTGTATTCTACTTTTATTGCTAAATTTGAGATTCCAGAAGTAGTTAGTACTAAAAAAAAAAAAGAGTAAGCTTTCACTTGGGTGCCTAAGAGAATGGTAGCAATACTGTATTTCCCTGGATTTATGTAGTATCTTTATACTACCAATCTTGAAAGTATCATAATAAAAACAAAAAATCATAGCGAGAAGTTACATAGATAGAACCCATGATGTTCGAGATCTGGATTAGGCATCTTCTTATATCATGAATTTAATCTACACAGTAACCTAGACAGCTAAGTGATCCTCCATGTTGGTTTCACAACATGTCAGTAATGGACAGTAATGGACATGTCCATGGACTGACATGGACTGTCCATGTCAGTAATGGACAGGACAGCATCTCCACTTCTCCGGCAGGAGAACCACAGAGGTCTGGGCCACCTGAAGTCATCAGAAAGTCGCTTGCAGAGGACCAATGAGAACTCATTTTCCTGCCCCAAACACAGTCCTCTATAGAGGCTATCATCACACCTCTTGGCCCATCTGATTGGGGAGCCACATAAGGAACGAAGAAACTTATCATATTCCCTCAGAAGATGTGTCCTGTGCATAAGAGAAGTGGGGTTCAGTCCCTGGGTGGGGAAGACCCCCCGGAGGAGGGCATGGCAACCCACTCCAGTACTCTTGCCTGAAGAATCCCATGGACAGAGGAGCCTGGTGGGCTACAGTCCACAGGGTCACAGAGTCGGACACGACTAGGCGACTAAGCACAGCGTAGCATCTCCTTTAAACACTGCAGCCAAAACGTCCACAAATATTCACTGGCTCTTCTAGAAAATAACTGCTAGGAAAGAATATTTTCCAGATATAATTTCTCTTTCCTCTTTGAAAGTCACAAAATGTATTAATATTTTTAAATGATCTAAGATATCAAGGTTTAAATTTTTCCCCTCCTCCCCTAAGAGTTTGAGAAACTCTTCACATTTACCAAATATACTTCGATATGAAGGAACATGGTTGCTCTAATTAGATAATTTAAAGGAAATTTACTCCTATTAGTATAGTTTAGTTAGTATAGTTAAAATAGCTTTCAAATTAAAAATAAAAAAATTACTATCCCCCAATGTCTAGCTTAGTTTCAAGAGATTCCTTTAGAAGTGATACACTGAGAAATGTTATGAAATTCTACAAGTAAAACAAGCAAAGTAACAGAAATACTGGCTCTTTGTGGGCAGGAGTGGTCTTCTGAGCAGAAGTGAGAGGGTGTAAATAAACATATTCTGCAAACTGCAGAACTGGTACAGATAAGTTAAAACATAATACTGTTTATTACTTTTCAATTCTAGAGACATTTATGGATCTATAGCCATCCAAGGCCTGGAAAAATTGGAAAACTGTGCTTGGGTTTATCTTTCTCAAAGCTAACTTGCTAACTTTTTATATTTTTTAAAAAAGGGTAGTTTTGAGACCATTTTAAAAGCCTATGGTTGACACAGTTAAAAATTAGCCAATTTGTGGATGTTCAAGGCTGTTAGTTAAGCTGTAAGTTTAACAACATTATAAAAGTCTAGTAGGAAAAAAAACATATGCTAATTAGCAAGATCCCATTTCCCAAATAAACATGGAATGCTTGTTACTAGAATGTTTCACAAATAGGTGTCTCTTTCTTTCATGACATACATTTTTTTCCCTTTTTGTGTATTTGATAGAATTTCAAGGACTTAAAAAAAGTCACTTTGAATCTTGATCCATAGTTAAGGAGTTCAAAGTGAAGATGATGCCACAAACATATCTGCCCAGCACCAGAAATACACACGTGGTCCTGGGCCACATCCCGAGGGGACGGACAGGATATGAAGGACCTCCTGCTCCATGAACAGCTGACAGCATTAAAAATGGGCAGATGAAACTAGCTGGTGTCAAACAACTGGGAACTGACACAACACTGCAACTAGTCTGAATGGCCGAGAGGGAGAAACACATGGTCCAGGCAGGTCGCTTGGACAGTCACACGCTTAGTAAGGGCTCAGCACTTGGGAACTGTCAAGGGTTACTTCTTTGATTCAGGTTAAAAATGTCCAGTTATATAGATTTTTTAAATATAGCACACATTTTTGATACTCTGATCATTTCTACAGTTGAAAATATAGCTAAATCAGTACAATTTTTTTTTCTTAATTTTTACATTTTCCCTCAATTGACAAATCAAACTGAACACACGTCTACTCCAAAGGCCTTCGGATGCTGTGCAGGGAGAAAGCGTTAGCTCAAGGTGTCTATTTACAGCCTGTGTTCTACATGATGAAGACTCGGGTTTAGCAAAAAATTCTTTCCCAAAATGGCATCAGCTGCAATATGATCCTCAGGCATTGCTCCCCGAGGAGCACCAGGAGGAAGGAGGAGGATGGTGGAGAACTCCATTATGGACAGAACCACAGGGTCCCAGGTACTCCAAGTGAGCAGGTAGGTGAATCTCCTCTAAAAGATTCTGAAGAACAAATACAAACTTTGTTTTGAAGTTTCGAGGAGCAGGACGCTCATTACCAAACACGGCAACTCATCCCACTGTTGAGATCCTCCTATTTTTAAAAGACTGTCGAGTAAGATGACCTGAAATCTGTCTTTTGATGCTTTTCTCACTCGAGCATTGCTTTTGTCTCCTCGGAGCAACTCGGAGTTCATTCCCCCATTCCTGCAAAAGTCCTTCAAATATCTGCTGGGATTCTTCTCTTATTCAAGGGTGGAGGTTACATTTTTGGCAGGTTCCAAGGGCGGTGAAAGGGGTTGGAATACTATAAGCCATGACCATCACGCTCAGAGGCGTGTAGGGTTGGGTGTAGGATGCGTGGCGTCCCAAAGCTAGTATGTCAAGTTCACTGACTTCCCTAATCAAATAGATGAAGATGACTGATTGTTCCAAAGGATTCAGATGGAGAAAATGAAAACTTTTATATAATGGACATTTTCAAAACTAGTAAATGGAAAACTGAAGATGGAGAATTTACAAAGATCTACTTTTGGAGTAATAAATCTCCAATTGAAGTTTTAATTGAGACTGAAATCCAGTTGTCAAGAAATAATAATCCAGCTGTCAAGTTACTTTGAAAAGAAATTCTAAAATGTCTAGAATCGGAGTTGCTTCTCCATGCTTACCCCAGCTTCCTCGCTGATGTGTAACTCAACAAGCTTGCGTGGCTTGTGCTGGGGGAAGATTCTCTGAAACTCACCAAGGAGCTACTCAGACATGAATGATGATGCAGGCACCATTACATCTCACAGAAGCTTCACGAAACTCTAATTAGAATAGTCTCAAAAGAATTAGAAAGCAGTGGAATTTTACATTTTATTTGCCAGAGAATAAAGTTCCACTGATGCATATTTCTAAAGCTGCTAATCTCTTGGAAGCCGAACATCTGTTTCACTTTAAGAAATACATTGCACCCTCTTGCTCAATTTAAAGAGCCAAAATGAATTCTGATATATTAGTACATTAAAAAGAAGAGAGACCCAGTTTTAGAGTGCTACCAAAGACCAGGATGAGATTTTATAAAAAATTCTGGTGAAATTTTATGGGAGATTCATACAGGAAGTGCTAAAAACAAGGATTTATATAAAGAAAGTGATGGTTCAAGTTTTCTCTAGAATACTGTGATGACATTTGATTTTAACTTAGGGAGAACCTGGAAGTCATTTTTTGTTCTTAGGATAAAATGTATGGCGTGATTGAGAAAATGGCAAGAAAAATAATTTACAAAAGGGTAAAATAAATCAATAAAAAGACAACTTTTTGTTGCCAAGGAAATCCTATGAAACAGGCCTTTAAAGGAGCGATTTGTTTTTTCTCTGCTAAAAAGATTTTCATACCTTTCCTCTCTCCTAGGTGGCAGTGCGGCATAAAAGGAGACTATCCCAGAACCCATTAACTATCACAGGATTCAAAGATCAGTAAGAATAGAGATTCAAGGAAAAAATACTCAATATGGTATTAGAATAAAGAAACACACTTCTATAAATAGGCAAGAAGAGTACTCACTGGTTCCACGTTATATGAAAAAAGAGCGTACTCTCTATCTGGAGAAATTTCATATCTGATGGCTCTTAATGATTCCTAAAAGAAAAAAAAAACAACAAAGAATTTTAAAACATTACATATAACATAACTCAAAATCTTGCAATGAGACTGTGCCTGCTGATGCTGTCTTCAAAATTTATTAACAAAGTTCCTTTGTCGCAAAGTTGCTAAAGTCTATTAAACATGGCTTTGTACTTTTTTTGGCTAATGGAATAATGTTCAGTTACATAATGCTGTTTTTATGCCTTATTTGTTGTTTTTCAAATTTCAACAAAACATATTGTTATCTATTGAAACAAGCTGATATAAATAAACATAAAAACAATTCTTTCCCCACAAGATTCCCAACCTCTCTGTGTCTTTAAGCATGGGCTTCCCTAGTAGCTCAGTAGCTTATGCCTGAAATGCAAGAGACTCAGGTTGGGAAGATCCGCTGGAAAAGGGAATGGCAACCCATTCCAGTATCCTTGCCTGGAGAACCCCATGGACAGAGAAGCCTGGCGGGCTACAGTCCACGGGGTCGCAAAGAGTCGGACATGACCTAGCAACTAACACACATCTTTAAGCATGCATTCCTTTGCTCATTGTTATACTTAGAAGCTTATATTGAGCAGATTTGTTTCTAAAATAGAATCACATTCCACACCTGATTTGGCAACCTGCCTTTGCAGCTCCAAGGACGCTGAGTCACAAGTCAGTGGATAGAGGACTCATTATCATGTTTTCTTTCAAATGCCTTCATAGCACACAGGTGATTTTACATCAATGAAATAATCAAAAATGCTGTGTTCTCTTCAACTTGTCTGTTTTCTCTGAAGCACTCGAATTGCTGCACAGACCCTCACACCCAGTAAAAGAGCCCAATATTGTCAGCTTGGCATGCATCACTCTACACATGACCCTATGACCACATGCAAACATTAGATGTTTAACTACAGCTAAAAATCACGTCACCCTGCACAACTTTCAGGTCCGTTTTCTCATGCAACAACAAAGGAAGGAAATGACTCTAAAGCAATTAGTTTCACTTGAATTAGGGATCTTTCCTGTGACCAAGACTCCCAGGAACCTACCCCTGTGTATCCCCTAGGAACAGTGTTTGTGGAGACTTTCTGAAACATAGCTGCCATGGATAACAGGAATCTGCTATAAGTACCCTTAATAAGGACTGAGTGAGTGAAGATAAATCCACACCGTAAAATAGTATGCAAGATTTTAGTCAGTTCAGTCGCTCAATTGTGTTAGACTCTCCAACCGTCTTGTCCTCTGCCTTCCCCTTCTCCTCCTGCCTTCAATCTTTCCCAGAATCAGGGTCTTTTCCAATGAGTCGGCTCTTCACATCAGGTGGCCAAAGTATTGGAGCTCCCGCTTCAGTATCAGTCCTTCCAATGAATATTCAGGATTGATTTCCTTTAGGATTGACTGGTTTGGTCTTCTTGCTGTCCATGGGACCCTCAAGAGTCTTCTCCAGCACCACAATTCGGAAGCATCAATTCTTTGGCACTCAGCTTTCTTTATGGTCCAACTCTCACATATGTACACGACTACTGGAAGAACTGTAACTTTGACTGTACTATGTATGTTGACTAAAATATTTTATCAAATGTTCAGTACTAATTGTTTAAAAGTTCTAATGAGGATTATGTTAAAGTTTTATATCAATTCTAAGAGAATTAACATTTTAAACACTGTATTCTCACCTAAGATTACATTGCTGCTGTTATTGTTCAAGTCGCTCAGCCGTGTCCGACTCTTTGCAACCCCACGGACTGCAGCACACCAGGCTTCCCTGTCCCTCACCATCTCCTGGAGCTTGCTCAAACTCATGTCCATGGAAAGCATATGAAAGACAAGATCAACCATTTCATCCTCTGTTGTCCCCGTCTCCTCCTGCCTTCAATCTTTCCCAGCATCAGGGTCTTTTCCAATGAGTTAGCTCTTCGCATCAGGTGGTCAAAGTATTGGAGCTTCAGCTTCAGTCCTTCTAATGAATATTCAGAGTTGATTTCCTTAGAACTGACTGGTTGGATCTCCTTGCAGAGAGTCCAAGGGACTTTCAAGAGTCTTCTCCAGCATCACAGTTCAAAAGCATCAATAGTTTGGCACTCAGCCTTCTTTATGGTCCAGCTCTCAGATCCCTACATGATTACTGGAAAAACCATAGCTCTGACTACAGATGCTTGTCAGCAAAGTAATGTCTCTGCTTTTTGATACTTTAAGATTACATTGAATCTTTTTAAAAATAAAAATCTTCAACAAGATTTTATAGTTTGCTTTATTCTCTTAGTGCTTTTCTTAGATTTATCCTAGGTCTTTGTACAGTTCTTGTGTTGTAAATGGAATATTTTCTCCATTTCTACTTCTAGATACTCATGTTAAGGAATAGAGAAGGTATTTATTTATTTATGTATTTAAGCTATATTAATACATTTTCTTATTAATTACAGTAGCTTAAAAAATAATGTCTTTTAGGTTTTCTGAAGTAGAATTATATTATCAGAAAACAGATATTTTCCTGTACTCAGCATGTAGTTTGCTTATATACTGCATTTCCCATCATCCAAGAACATATTAAATATTAACGGTGATGTTGAGTATTCCTTCCTGACTATAATTGAAATGGTTTTATTGTTTGCCATTTAGAAAGATTTTCTTTGCTCACTGGTTCATGGTAAATAGTCTTTATCATACTTAAGCAGTTTTTACTCTTATCTTACCTGGAATTTTTATCAGGAGTGGTTGATAAGTTTTATCAGATGCCCTTTCAGCATCTTGTGACATAATTATAAGTATTTTCCTATTACTGTGCAGTTGTAGTGAATTTTGTTGATTGATTTCCTGACACCTGAACACTGTTGTCATGATCACACCTTACTGTTCAGAGAACATTATGTTTCTCATACATGATTGAATTCTACTTGCCAATGTTTTACTTATAATTTCTGCATTTATGCTCGCTAGTGAGATCGGTGTATAGTTTACACTTTGCATTATTTGGGGCTATTTAGTTATCAATGACACGATGTTTTAATAACACTCTTCTAACTTTAAAAAAATACTGGTCTACATGATGATCCATGTGTGTTGTGTGTATATGGGCATGTTTCTGGTGAGATGTATATCCAAAGGGTTGTGCCCTGTTTTCTTGTACTAGATACACATGTGTGTGATTACGAGTGCAGAGAAGGAAAGGTGGCCATGCAGGAGAGAAAGAAATAAAATGACAGGATGCTCCAAATTACCAAGTAACAGAGGGAAACAGAGAGCAGAAAGCATCAATATATCCACAGGCTCTTTTGCGAAAACAATCTCCTCATAAAGGAAAAAACGAACACACGGGTAAAATACACAAATTAGTAATGATGAAACAAAAGCCAAACAGTGACCAGATTAAGTGAGTTCTAAGAGGATACTGTGTGACTCTACGGAAGCACGTACCAAACGACAAACGGACAACCGCACTTTCGCCCTCCCTAGTCAACGAGGAAGAAGGGTAGCTCAAGGACCAGGTGTCGGCCTGTACCTGGGCCCCTCATTCACCTAGAAATCATTTAATGTGGGATCAGACAGCCCCGGGTGCTGCTCTCAGCACTGCCTGTGAGAGCCGGAGAAGACCTGAAAATGTAGTTGCCAGAGAACAGGCTGAAAGGATGATAAAAGCTCGACTGCTGAGAAAAGTCTCCAGGTGGTTTCACCAGCCGAGTTCCCTCCAACCTTGAAAGTGGACCATTCTGTGCATTTAGATGCATCATCGATTTCTGCATTATGCTAAGCTGATACACTATTTTGCATCTGTAATCTTTATTTTAGTCAACGTGAGGTGGCCTCCAGGAGCAATTCTGTGACATGCGATGGGGGACCACAGGTACGAAAATGCATCTGAAGCTGGGCACCCTTCTCAGTTCCGAGGGGCTGGCCTCAGTCCCGTCTGGATCCCTGTGGGTGCAAATGCTGCATCTGGATCCCTTACGCAATTTAAAAATAACTTTTTCTGGAATTAGGCAAAGCTGAGTTCAGCTCTCAGGAGTCCCAGTTAACAGCTATGTTACTCATAAAAAATTATTTTAACCTTCATAAACTTCAGCTTTCTTACAAATAGTAAGCGTTCCCACTCACAAGATTCCTAGGGATTTCAGTTAAATAAGATAATATATATACTGTGTTTAGGATCCTTTTGGTCGCACTGTGAGCACTCAAACATCAATCACCAGTTGATTTATCCTGTGTAAACCTTGCACATCCTCTTCCTCAAAGTTTCCCTGGCCATCCATGCACCTGGCCTGACGTCTCCTGACCGAGGTGTCCGACGTCCCTGAGACGGCCACTGTTCACCCAACGAGGCTCAAATCCCCCGGACGACCCAGATCTCTGCTTTGGCTCTCAGCTGCCTGCACACACAGCGCCTCCGAGTCTTCCCGGTTCTCCCTCTACAACACAACATAAACCCATCCCATCTCTGCTTTTCTCCCTCCATTCAGGACGCGGTTGCTCTTCATCTGCAACGGAAGCAGCCCTGGGGGCTCCTGACCTAGAATCTTTCTCTTCCCCACACACCCTTTCATACCGGAGTCTAGACTTACTTTCCTGAAACACACAGTTGTCCTTGAAAACGCCATCCGTTCCAATCTCCAACAGAGCAAAGAGGACCCACAAGGTACCACACACGTGACTTGCTCTTTTCCAAGACGCTTAAGCCACAGCCTCCCAGGCCCTCCTGGACAAGCTCCCCAGGTTACGACTTCTCGACACAGTCTGCCCAGACCCCTCCTGACTCCACCTGTTCACACTGTGAGGATGCCACTTCCCACTGGTCTCAGACCACGGTCACCTACCAGGGGTGGCTGGGACGCTCCCTCTTCAAGACCTCACCTACTGTCGGCGCCCACACCCTTTCCTCCTTCCTTCCTGTCCCCGTCCCACATGGGACTGCAACTTGGAATATATTTCATTCAAATGCTGACTTCTTTTGTGTCTGGGCTGAAAGTTTCCCAGAAGCAGACACTATGCTTTATGAATCCGGTATCCCGGCACCCACC